TAATTTCTTGAGGTCCAAGAATGTCAGGACAGTACAGATATCCCCCAAATGTCAGAACAGTACAGATATCCCCCAAATGACCCCTTTTTGCAGAGTAGACAGTCCGACGTACTTCATAAGTGGAATGGCGAGTTTTTTGAAGTTGTATTTTTTTTGTCATAATTTTTCGGAAAATTAAAAAAATTATTTTCACTATTTTTTTTTTTACATACTGTCACCTGTGCAGTACAGCGTCATCATATAACTGGCATGGCGGTGATCAGGGACACTGACTGGTGACAGTATGAAAAAAAAAAATATATATATATTTTTTTAATTTTTTTATTATTTTTAATTTTTTATTACATTTTTTTTAAAGATTTTTTTTCATATTTTACTATGACCAAAGTAGTACAATGTTACATAGTAACATTTTACTACTTTGGGGAAGTGATCAGTTTTTTTTTTTTTTTTTACGCAATTTGCTTATAGCAAAGAATTACTTTGCTATAAGCAAGCATTTACCTGAATGAAATCGATTCATTCAGGTTTTTTTTTTTTTTTGTGCTTAGCTGTGATTTGGCCACAGCTAATCACATGACATGTGCATGTGACCTGCTGTGACCATTCACAGCTAGGCACTAGTATACAATGGATGGCATGAATGAAGCCATCCATTGTATACAACTGTCATGTGACCTGCTGTGATTGGTCACAGCAGGTCACATGGTACCAGCAACGGGGGCCGGTACTCAGATCTGTCATTGGCCGTGTCCGAGGTACACGGCCAGTGACAGATCACGCCGCTGCGTGGCTCTACAACATGTGCGGGAGCACGCCAAATGGCGTGCACCCGGAAAGCTGATGCATTTTTGCAGCCGGCAAACGGCTATAGGCCGGGCGGCTAATGGTTAAAACGGCAGCTTAATTTAAATATTTAATTACTGGTTTAACAATTTTTATTTTATTTTCATATACCAGTATTTTCACCGATTCTTGAGCGTGGGGAGATAGGCTGGTTTCATCAAAATAGTGCCAGGACTTCTTTCCTGCATGTCCCAGGGCACGGCATCTCATTCAAATGAATGCCAAATAGTGGCCCGCATGGATGCACAGGTGTGAACCTAGCCTTAGAGAGGTTCTGAAAGACAGAAGGTAGAGGTGGCTTCCATGTGATAACTGTGATTGGCTGTCAAAGCAGTCACATGATCAAGAGCCGCCTCCCACGAGCTCCTGATCCTAAATTGTAATTTACGATGAACAGAACAGTTGAGCCAGCTCACATACTGTATGTGCATACTTAAGGCTCACCAGCTGCATATGTGCTTTAGGGCCAGTGGGAAGAGGTTCACTAGCCCTAAGTACAAAAAAAAAGATACCAAAAAGGAAAAGTTTATTCTGTGAGCAAAAAAGAAATGGCTATTGTTTGAAGATTATGAGCAAATGTTCCTTTTAAAAAGAAAAAGAAAAATGACTTTCACCTAGGAGCACCTTCTATCTTTCCAGTAATATTACTAAATTGCTTCATTTTCCATTTAAGTCAGACTCACGGAGACAAGTTGTGCTTTCTCCAGCTAAGAGACCACGATTCTCTGTTCCTGAAGAGGCCGTGTTCCTCGCCACTGCTCCTGACTCGAGCTGTTTTTTATTTTCTTTTTCGAAGGGGATCTTCTCGCTTTCATCAAGCCGTCTTAATCCTCAGGTAAACTGGCCCGAGGTGAGCAGTGTCATTCAATGTTCTTTTATTACCTCAATATTTCTTGGGCCTTCGGGGTTAATGCCAATTTTATTACCTTTTTGGTGGACTAATTTTATTGTGTGTCTCGGTAACCTGCGCTAAACCTGTGAAGAGAAAAAAAAAAAAAAAACAAAGAAATGGGAATTTTATGTCAGGCAAGTTGAAAGTTCCTATTTGTTTAGATAATAGAATAACAGAAGCAAACAGCGAAGCGTGGAATTGAAAATGAATCTTGTATCTATGTGGGCCCTGCAGGGGTTATACACCCCCAACTTCAGCCATTACTAGGGGGAAATTTCAAAACTACCCTTTCAGTGGAGATTCCTTTGCAATGCAAAGCTTCACCTTTTACATAAACTGGCCCCTGCTGACAAAAGCCCCCAATAGTGTAAAATACACTGCAAATGCCATACTTGTAGGCCTTTTCAGTCACCCATGAAGCCTGGCTAAATTATTCCCAACTCCTATGCCCTGATTTACTTCCAGAACATGGCAGTCATTGGGTCCTGCCAGCATCACAGGAGAAAGTACACTACCTTATCCAAAAGTTGCACATCTCCCATGTAGCACCCTCCTTCACTCCCTTATCATATCATGAATTGACTACTGCAACTCCCTCCTCGTTGGCCTACTCCAACACAGGCTATCCCCTCTTCAGTCTATCCTGAATTCTGCGGCCAGACTCATCCACCTTACCAACTGCTCCGTATCTGCCACCCCCCTCTGCCAATCCCTCCACTGGCTTCCGATTGCCCAACGCATAAAATTCAAAATACTAACACAGACGTACAAAGCTGTTCATAACACTGCCCCAAACTACATCACCGACCTGATATCCATCTACCACCCAAAACGCACTCTCCGCTCCTCACAGACCTCCTACTCTCTAGTTCCCTGGTCTCCTCCTCCCATGCCCAACTCCAGGACTTCTCCAGGGCTTTCCCCATCCTCTGGAACTCACTACCCCAATCCATCAGACTGTCACCTACCCTCCTCACCTTTAGGCGCACCCTGAAAACCCATCTCTTCAGAGAAGCCTACCCCACCCTCACCTAAATGCCGATCTCCTCCACTCTTCCCACCACTCCACCCCCCACAGCTATCTCCTCCTGTACCACTCTCCCCTCCCTCCTAGATTGTAAGCCCCAAGGATCATGGCCCTTGAACCCCTATACCCCTATACCCCTGTATTGTATTTAATTGTTACTGTACTGTCTCGTGTACTGTCTCCCATTATAATGGACAGCGCTGAGCAAACTATTGGCGCTATATAAATACTGTATAATAATAATCCTAGATAGGTGCTAGGCTATGTAAATATAGTTACTGGCTCACTGTAATCAGCTGAGCTGCATGTGATTATTTTTGCTTGTTCTGTGTTCCACTGGCTGCAGGGTTTACTCCTTTCCCCTGTCTCTTCGGAGAGTTCTGGAAGATAGTGGGCTGGGAGAGTCAGAAGCTAAATATTTATGCAGTTCTGTCCAATCCCTGGGGTGAGTGTGCCCAGATGGTGGCTGGGAGGGAGCATAAATAGCTTGGGCTTTGAACAGAGGGGTTCTTGCCCTGGAGGAGGAAGTCCCAGCCTGGAGGGCTGCTGCCCTTCTGGGTAGGCCTGCCATGTGTCTATTGCTCAACAAGGTCCCATCTATGCTAGCTGGGGGGCCAATTCTGCTGAAATTCATTGAAGCTGCCTGAAGGACTATCTTTTGGGGATCTGGTCTGGAGATATCTTGGGAGTCTAGAAGATATAGGAAGGAGACAACCAATTATCCAAAGACACTATTGAGTACAGACCAGTGTGAGAGATCCCTGTGTGCTGCTGCATACCCTCTCATACTAGAGTCAGCATTGCTCAAAGAGGACATTGTTCATGGTGTCCTTGTATAGCTCTGCCTATTATTTGCTGCTGCGAGGACTGTACTTAGATTCTTAGGTGATAGGTTAGTATCCTCACATTATTTATTAACCACTTGCCCTCCTGAGGATTTACCCCCCCCCCTTTCTGACCAGGCCACCTCATGCAAAGGTCCCCGCAATGCTGCACCCAAATGAAACTTGTGTCCTCTTTTTCCCACAAATAGAGTTTTCTTTTGATTTGATTGCCTGTGCATTTTTTATTTTTTGTGCTATAAATAAAAAAAAAGACCCACAGTTTTCAGAAAAAAAACAATATTTGTGACTTTTTGCTATTAAACATGTCCAGTAAAAAATTTTAAAAAATCAAATTTCATTATAAATTTTAGGCCAAAATGTATTCTGCTACATGTCTTTGCTAAAAATACTTGTAAATTAATTGGTTTACGTGAAAGTTATAGCGTTTACAAATGGCAGTGTATATACTGGAATATTTTTTTTTTTTTTACTAGTAATGGCGGCAATCAGCGACTTATAGCAGGACTGCGGGAGACATTCTGACACTATATATACACCATATATGGCGGGATAGATACTAGGATTTTTTTCTACTAGTAATGGCGGCAATCAGCGACTTTTAGCAGGACTGCGGCGGACATTCTGACACTGGGGGGAGCTGACTTGGTGTCACTGACATCCCCAGTGACGCCAATACAGTGATCAGTGCTATTAGAAAGCACTGACACTGTACTAATGGCACTGGGCAGGAAGGGCGAACAAGTGGGGTGATCAAAGGGTTAACTGTGTGCTGTTTCACAGTTTGCTGTGTGAGTGCTTTCCACTGTAAGCACACTGCTTTGTATGGCTCTGCTGTGCAGAGCCATACAAAGCAGTGTGCAGGAGCTGACAGGGGAGAGATCTGTGTTGTTTATATATGGGTCTCTCCCTCATTGGAGATACTCGGCAATCACCGAGTGCCAGTGAGAACTCATCGCCGGGATCTGGTGATTGACAGCCAAGGCCGTGAACGGCGGCGTGGGTAGGGCGCGCGTGTTTCCCCCTACCCGGAACTGCAAAATCGCGTGTATATACGTGATTTTTTACACCCGTACCACCCTGTAGCAGTATTCCTGCTATAGGGCAGCGCAGAAGCGGTAAATGTTGCAGTATTTTACAATTACCTTATACCTATCCAAGTTTAAAGTTTTACTAAACCCAGGACCCTGCATTCACTATATCTGCTCTCCCTGGACCCTGCATTCACTATATCTGCTCTCCCCGGACCCTGCATTCACTATATCTGCTCTCCCCAGGACCCTGCATTCACTATATCTGGTCTCCCCAGGACCCTGCATTCACTATATCTGCTCTCCCTGGACCCTGCATTCACTATATCTGCTCTCCCCGGACCCTGCATTCACTATATCTGCTCTCCCTGGACCCTGCATTCACTATATCTGCTCTCCCCGGATCCTGCATTCACTATATCTGGTCTCCCCAGGACCCTGCATTCACTATATCTGGTCTCCCCGGACCCTGCATTCATTATATCCTGTCTCCCCGGACCCTGCATTCACTATATCCGGTCTCCCCGGACCCTGCATTCACTATATCTGGTCTTCCCGGACCCTTCATTCACTATATCTGGTCTCCCCGGACCCTGCATTCACTATATCTGTTCTGCAAAATACCTTTTCTCATCAGCAGTTAGAGCAGTCTTGTGACTTCAGCAGAGCACTGGTTAAAGCTAGCAGGAGGAGTTTTCTCTCTGCTCTAGGAGGATGTGAAACCCCTGACCCTTTGTCTGGACAATGCTGATTGTGCTGATCACATGCACCCTCCCAAGAAAAAAAAAACCTCTCCACCAAAACACACCAAAGTGAGCTTGTGCATGTGAATATGGATTCAGTCTGTATCAGGTGGTTGTTTCAACAAGAGGAGGGGCAGAGAAGACAGGATCAATCAGCCTTTTTACACAATGCAGAAGATTAACCCTTTAGGTTCCACAGTGAGTATAACAAGCATGCTTTACTGCATCTACAGACTGATTGTACTGTTGTGGGTTTAGTAACACTTTAAGTTCTACAATAAAGCATAAAAAAAGAACACCCCTAGACTGATCACTGAGACAAAAGAGTGACCGTGACTGTGTGTTAGGCTGCGAGTGCAGCTACTGGGAAAAAGCTCAGGGACTTAACACAGTGAGCCCTCAAGGGGGTGAGTGCTATACCCGTCACAACGAGGACTTACCAGTCGCACACTCCCACCAGGGTTCTCACACTACTGTAGCCTCTCTCCATCTCATTCTCAACAAAATGGCCACCAAGCCTCCTACTTTGAGAACAGCCAAAGAGATAATCACTTAAGTTATCCTGAAAGAAGAAGGTTCAGCAACCATTTAGTTGTAGCCCATGTCCTGTAAATTTGGCTCGGATTCATAGGTGACAGAAAAGGCCACCAGAAACAGGACACGATCACACCAGTCCCATTAGGTAGTGTTGCCCTACGTAATCCCAATGCCAATAGACAAGACAATTTTTCTATTGCTTTAGCACACCAGGAGATGTGCAGTATTCACGTCTTAGGACATCAAAAGTCAGCAGCTACAAATGCTACAAACTGGTACTTACCAGCTTGTGGAGTTCAGCAATGTCTTCTCTGGAGCCAATTCTTCACTGAGCTTCAGGTCCAGCGATCTTAGATGTGGGAGCCGGCTGTGTCTTCCTGATGTCTCACAGCTAGCTCCCCATTGCATATGCACAATATCACATGACACCCTGGGTCTGGTCCTTCTACCTCTTGAGATGTGGGACACGTCCTGGGAGGCTGCGGGAGGCTGGGGGGTGGCCCAAAGTGATGTGATTGTCCCTAAAGCAAAGATTAAGGACGTAGGGGCAGGTACAGTTGTGCTCAAAAGTTTGCATACCCTGGCAGAAATTGTGAAATTTTGGCATTGATATTGAAAATATGACTGATCATGCCAAAAAACGCTCTTTTATTGAAGGATGATGATCATATGAAGCCATTTATTATCACACAGTTGTTTGGCTCCTTTTTAAATCATAATGATAACAGAAATTACCCAAATGGCCATGATCAAAAGTTTCCCTCCCTTGGAATGTTTGGCCTTGGTACAGACACAGAAGGTGACACACACGGGTTAAAATGCCAATTAGAGGTTAATTTCCCACATCTGTGGCTTTTTAAATTGCAATTAGTGTCAGTATATATATAGTCAATGAGTTTGTTAGCTCGTATGTGGAAGCACTGACTAGGCTAGATCCTGAGCCATGGGGATCAGAAAAGAACTGTCAAAAGTCCTGCATAACAAGGTAATGGAACTTTATAAAGATGGAAAAGGGCATAAAAAGATGTCCAAAGCCTTGAATATGCCAATCAGTACTGTTAACCTCCCTAGCGGTATGATTATTTCAGACTTTTGGTGCTGAAAGCGGTACCATTATTTTGCATGGAAATATGTAGTTTTTTTTATTGTAGGCTGTAATATTTAGGAATAACTCCCTGAAATCTGTCCGAACAAGAGTCTAGTAAACATCCCGGGTATGATAAAATTTGAAACACAAAATCATAAATTATAATTTAATAAATAATCATAAAAAATAATAATATAATAATAATACATTTAATTCAATAATATAATCAAACCAAAAACACTGAAGTTTGAAATATAGCGCCAAGTTCGCACATCGCTGAGCAAAGTTGCAAAATCGTTTTCAGTGTCTGATGACGAATTTCTCCACGAATCATTATCACTCAATTCTGCAAGTGGTTCTGATTTACTATCGCTGTTCTCTAGCTGATCTAAACCCGATTTTGACCTTAAGGGACGCTTTTTGGACGCCATGGACATTTCTAAGTTTCCAGGCAGAAAGAACAGACAAAATGCAGGCAGGGGACAGGACAAAGCACTCGGAACAAAATGTATGTGAAATGGTTTGAAACAGCAATGTTTTACTATGTAAAATTCGTTTTGAAAAAAATGACATTTTTTTAAAAATTTCCCGCCGGCGGCAGCGCCCGTACGTCCCGACGTCACAGGGACCGGAACACAGAAGCCAGGATGCCGGCATCAGCCGGAGGAGATGGCCGGGGACGCTGCAGGGGACACATCGCGGGAGCGAAGGACAAGGTAAGCTCTGTAGGGAATCCCTATGCAGCGCCGCATCGTAAGCCCGAGTGTAGCTCGGGGTTACCGCTTTTGGTACTGAAACTTAACCCCGAGCTACACTCGGGAATACCGCCAGGGAGGTTAAATCACTTATTAAGAAGTGGAAAGTTCGGGGATCTCTTGATACCAAGCCAAGGTCAGGTGGACCAAGAAAGATTGCAACCATAACTGACAGAACAATTGTCTGGGATTCAAAGAAAAACCCCACAGGAAACCTCAAAAGAAATACAGGCTGCTCTGGAGAAAGATTGTGTGTTTGTTTTTAAGGAGTACAATTCGGTGATACTTGAACAAAAATGAGCTGTTTGATTGAGGTGCCAGAAAATACCTGTCAAAAAAAGGTACTCCCCACCCCCTCAAAACAAGCTGCATTTCAGTTATTGGCAAGGGGGGGGGGGGGGGGGGAACAATGAGAGAAACTTGAATTTTTTTAGGTTAAATTATAAAGAATGCAAAGAGCAGTACAAAAGAGTGCTAAGAGAGCAGCCAATCAACATGCATTTTTTCTGACATAACTTTTTTTTTTAGTCTGATATGGGTTACTGCATTTTGCATATTGTCATGTCTCCATAATTAAACCCATTTGTGATTGTGATGAAGATTTGAGACGTGATTTCTTACCATGTTGGCCTTCTAAACCTCAGACATCTTAAAGAACTTGCCTAATTACTCTCCCAAATAAAGGTGCCGTCATTTTCCTTGCTCTCTTGGAAAGGTTTGCTAAGACATACGGCTTCAGACCTCTTTATAGCCAAAGGAGTTTATCAATTTGATTTCATAATGTGCTTGCTTTATCCAGTTTATCTCCATCACCCTTTGAATTGTAAGATAATCAATAAAGAGCCTCCAGCACAAGGACTCGAAAATAAAAAAAAGAAAAATGCAACATTTGGGGAATACAAATAATATTGAGCTGATGAAGCGAGAGTGTTATTCTGCTGAACGTCGGCCATTTAGAAGGTGAATAACTCAATGTAAGAGAATGTAGGAAAATTCAGTTCATTGACAGTATGATCAAATCGCAGCACTAGCCGCAAATCCGCAAACAGATATCCTTGACTTGCGAGCCGTCATCAACAGGCTGGTGCTTTTCCTTGCCTCTACCGGCCCCCAGGGTCCATTCACACAAGATGTATTGATTATAGATTTAATGTTGCTAACTCTGACCTACAAAGCCAATCACAACGCCGCCCCAAACTACCTAACCGACCTGATACCCAAATACCACCCTACCCGTGCCCTTCGCTCCTCACAGGACCTCCTACTCTCTAGCTCCCTGGTCTCCTCCTCCCACGCCCGATTGCAGGATTTCTCCAGGACTTCCCCCCATCCTCTGGAACTCACTACCCCAATCCATCTGACTGTCACCTACCCTCCTCACCTTCAGGCGCACCCTGAAAACCCACCTCTTCAGGGAAGCCTACCCTACCCTCACCTAACAACTGACCTCCTCCACTCCTCTCACCACTCCATCCCCTACAGCCACTTCCTCCTGTACCACTATCCCCGCCCTCCTAGATTGTAAGCTCCAAAGAGCAGGGCCCTCGAACCCCTCGTGTATTGTATTGTTTCTATCTTGTCTCATGTTCTGTCCCCCACTATATTGTACAGCGCTGAGCAAACCCTTCGCGCTATATAAACACTATATAATAATAATAATAATGGGTTTTTTTTTTTCAGCATTGGCAAAAGACACAAACAAATGTTTACATATTTACTCTAACGTAAAATTAGATGGCATACATATATACAAATCCAACATGTTGTGGGGGTGGAAGACTTGCCCCCTTCATCAGGGCTTGATAGATAGGATGATGTATGAAAACTTGATAGTAAAGGGGTTGTTTGGTATAGAGGACTTTTTCCTGGCATACTCTTAGTAGCAGATGGAGGGCTCATTCGCAGACGGGGGGCATTTTTCCTGCGTAAATGCTGTTCTGTGATCTCCACCTTAAACTGTCTCCCTGCAAAGCACTGACTTTCTGCAAAAACTCAGCATAATAATTCCTATTTCTTTTTGTTTTATTTTGTGTGGTGTTTGTGTTTTTTGTGTGGTGATTGATTTTCACCTCCTTTGTGATCAGAGAAACATTCACCTTTTATGACCTAGCCTGTGTGTGCAACTGATCTGGTTTTTGACTAACCTCCCCCAAATTAATGTAATCCTTATCAGTTCCTAATTGGGGTGGAGACGAGTTGCTCATTTGATTATCTCCCTATAAATTTAGACTAGCTTATGAGGGTGGTCACAGATGGGGGGGCATTTTTCCTGTGTGTGTGCATTTTCTGCTGGAGTGTGAAGCAGCAGTTGAACACAGCAGTTTAACTAAAGCAGGATAACTCAAGCAACAGCAAGATACAACAAAGAACTCTGCACACTGGATGGACTGCAAGCAAATACCTTGGGAAACAACTCCTACAAGTCTGATTCCCACTCCGTGTACCTTTTTAATATGTCCCCTCTACTACTCCTTTTCATATTACTATCCTGCGTTCCCAAAATCTCATTTCTTTACCCCTCTACTCCACCCCAAAGCTTATACATATCACCCTCACTGCTACCATCTCCCTACTACTGCTCTCATCACCTCCTGCTGATACTTTACTCTCCTGCTGACCCAAACACCAGGACAGGAAGGCATGTGCACTCATATACATCCCGCTCCCACCTTACTTTCCTCACCCACCATCTTTTTCTAACCTCTGGGGATATCTCCCCAAACCCTGGTCCTCCA